TTTAATATTTATTTTTTAGTTCTCGGCGGACACAACATCTTTGTTGGTATGTGGTGCTGAGGATCGAACCCGGGCCGCACGCATGCCAGGCGAGCGCGCTACCGCTTGAGCCACATCCCCAGCCCCCCAGTAACTACTTCTTAAGCAGAAGTTTCTTTCAGCTTTTTCTATTAGTAATCATAGATTACTTTATGAGACCTGAAAATTGAAGTCACATGAAGAACGTGATTCATTTTGTAAAAATGTCTATATAGCAAAAAAAGTTCTATCAGTCTTTCTGGAAACATGTATTTTACCTTTTGTCCATAGCTTAAGAGACAGTAAGTGCGGGCTGGGGTTGTAGCCTAGTGGTAGAGTGCTTGCCTAGCATGCATGAGGCACTGGGTTCGATTCTCAGCACCATGTATAAATATCTAAAATAAAGGTCCATTGACAACTAAAAAATATTTAAAAAAAAAAAAAAAAGAGACAGTAAGTGCTAATCATGCCAATCTTTTTTTTTTTTTTTTTTTAGGATCTTAGACTACGAGGTTCTGAATCTTTACCATTCTTTTTAGACCTTTATTTTTATTTGGATGCTTGAAATCAATACATCCTAACTTTATGTATTAAGTAAACTTCTACCTGAATTCATTTGCTTTGATTCCATGTTCAGTGAAATTTAATTTTTTTTGACAAATATAATGATTGTTTGGCTAAGTATCTTTCTTATGTGAACAGACACACCTTGTGAAAGTTGGTTTTGTTGTGATATATTCATAATGGTGAATATTCCTATATGATGCCAGTTTCTAAAATTATTCTGTAGTGTAGAGTCAGATATGGTAGAAAGGGCAAGAAGAAGGTAAAGAGGTGATTTCCTTTGAAGAATGTGTTAAGATGAAATATTATTAWTAATTAATAATAATAACCCTAAAAGAATATAAGTAAATAACTAATTTATAGTTGTCTTTACTTTTGAGGTGATTGTGTTATCTGACAAAGTAAAGATGAATTTTAAATTTTGGTGTCATGAGTAAGAATGTAGAAGTTTGCACTTGTTTTCCCTTTTTTAGTTCCCCATGTATGCTTAAGTACATCTTTTATTTTTTTAGGCACGGATAGCATTTTTACAAGGAGAAAGAAAAGGTCAAGAGAATTTGAAGAAGGATTTAGTAAGAAGAATAAAGATGTTAGAGTATGCATTAAAACAAGAAAGGTATGTGTGCCTCACTTCCTTGTATGAATAAAGTAAACATATTATTCTCATGTATACTGTTGAAGAATACATTTGAAAGCTTTTTGAAAGGTTTTAAGCTTTGCCCAAATACAAGATGACATTTTTATTCAATTCATATGAGGAAAAAGAAAAACATTAGAATAGTTAAATTGAAGTAATATTTTTTAAAGACCAGGAAAAATTTATCTTTTTTCACGTGAATGTATTTGTTACTTTTTGTTATCTTTAAAATAGTGTTCTTTGCAAATAAACTTTTAAGACAACATTCATACTAGGTTTTGTTATTGGAGTAATATATAGCAGAGTCACCTGTAGAAAAGGAAGTAATTTTTCTTTTACCAATTTATTATTAAATTTTCAGGGCAAAATATCATAAATTAAAGTATGGCACAGAACTGAACCAAGGTGATTTGAAAATGCCAACCTTTGAATCAGGTAAACTTGATTCTTATTTCTTTTTTTATTAAGCTTGTTTTTAAGTAGCAGACATGTTTTTTACATTCATTTTGCTTTGATGATTGACTATTGTGAATTGTCTAAAATTGGGAGAAAATATTAGAAGAATAAAAATCAGTAGTTTTGATCTACATCTTAATCCTGAGGTTACTTGTTCTGTTTTCTGTGGATTGAAAACCTGTGTGAAACTGTGAATGCATTTTGGTAGTAGTTAGAACTGAAAAGGTACCAAAGTGTTCATTTTCTATCTATAGGCAATTTTTCCCCCATTGTATGTGAGCTTATATTTCTGTTGTTATTTAAAAATCCCTTTTTTATGGATGGAAATTGAGAAATCATGCTGAGTGAAATAAGCAAGCCAGACTYAGAAAATCAAAGATCTAATGTTTTCTCTAATATGTGGAAGCAAAATAAGGGGCAGGGTTGCAAGGCAGGGGCAAATATCCTAAATACATAGGGAAATCAGTGGAGATGGAGAGGGAGGGAAGCAGGATGGGAAAGGGGAAGAAATGAGGAATGAATTTATCAAAAATCAAGTTATGTGCATCTATAATTATACCACAGGGAATTTCACCTTTATGTATATGTAGAAAGCACCAATCAAAAATAAATAAAGAAAAAGAGAGACTTCTGACAGTAGGGTCGACAAGAAGGCTATATGACTACTCGGAATGTAAAGGCAAGGTCTACCATGTAGTCTGTCCCTGTCTTTATCTGTAAAATGAAGTTTCACAAGAACAGGTACCTACCTGGCTCAAAGCCAGCTTAGCTTCTGTTGAGAGCTATAGACCCTTTATTGTTTAAGCCAGTTTGAGCTKTATTCTTTTATTTGCAGTCAGCGCTGTCCTAACTGATAACCAGACACAGTCTGATAAACTAATAAAGAAGTCTAAAAAAATAATAATAAAATAAATAAATAAATAAAGGAGTAAAAGGAAGATCAGTACAGTAGAGGAAAGAGAATAGGGGGAGGGATAAGGTGGGGAATGGGGACTGAAATGCAGTAAATCAAATTCCATGCATATATGATTTTGTCAAACTGAACCCAACTTCTCATAAAAAAAAAAAAAAAAAAAGAAAAAGAACATCTTGGGGACAGATATTCTTTTCTTTTTCCCCCACCCCAAAGGTGCTTAACTATTGAGCCACAGCAACAATCCTTTTTAAATTTCATTTTGAGATAGGCCCTTACTAAGTTTTGGGCCTTGCTAAATTGGTGAAGCCAACCTTGAACTTGTGATCTTCCTCAGCCTGGGATTACAGGCATGTACCACTACGCCCAGCAGTATTTTTTTTTTTTAAGCCAATTTTCTTCTCCTGTGGTGGTAATGTGTGATTTAAAAAATAAATCAGGGGCTGGGGTTGTGGCTCAGTAGAAGAGTGCTCACCTAGCATACGTGAGGCACTGGGTTCGATCCTTAGCACCACATAAAAAYGAAATAAAGATATTTTAAAAAATAAAATAAACCAAATATTATAAATAGAAAGGTAGGTAGGGGGGCTATTAGATTGGAGTAATTATTTCTACAAATCAGGAATTGCTTGTGTATGAGGGAAGAAGGAGAAGATACTAACAGAGAGTGTTAGGGTTAGAGAAGTAATACCTGCATAGTATATTTAGACTCTGAGAAGTCTAGGAGCCTAATAACCATGAGCCATTCTAATAGTTCTTAACAGTAAGTGTGGGGATTGGTTTTGCAAGCTCTTCTCTTCTTCACAGTGTYTTTATTTTTAAAATGGGAATTTATGGGAAAACATTTCTATAATGTTAATACCAAATAGTTAAATTTCACTCTACAGATACTTGAGAGCTTAATTCACTTGAAATTACACTTAGGTATTAAACTAACTTTCTTGCTTGCTTCCTTTTCCTCTTTCTTGGCTGAGAATTGAACCCAGGATATCACTCTACTTAAACTTTAAAAATGCATATGCTTTGTTATCTAAGATTAAAATGTGGCTCTTTACCTATTGTAAAAACTATTCTCTGGTTTAATTTTTAATTCTAAAAGTGAAATTGGCTAGAAAAAGTCTTGTGATATAGACTTAAGGTCTACTGATATAAACTCAAAATTCTGTTATTCATTATTTTATATGTACTCAGTATCTTGCCTATTGATTTTGAATAGCTTATGTAATACAGCTTTTTTATTTCAAAGGCATTTAATGAAGTTGAATTCTCATTGTTTAAAAAAAAATTCCTTATATCATCTCAAAGCTGGAGCCTTTGATTTTTGATCCTCATAGTAATAAAGTATACCTGTATTTTCTAGTTTTAAAATCATTACCATAAGTAATTGAGTGACGCATAGTAATCATACTTTTGATTTTTTTCAGATCCTTTACAAATGTTTAAGTCTATTTTGGTAGGACTTTATCCTTAAGAAAATGTGGCAATATTTTTAAAAGTTAATAATGTGTGTAAAACCTTTTTTCTTAATATTTAGAAGAAACCAAAGACACAGAGGCTCCCTCAGCACCTCAGAATAGCCAGTTAACATGGAAGCAAGGCAGACAGCTGTTAAGACAGTGAGTAATGGTTTATTTTCAGTTCTCTTTAAGGAACTAGACATGAAAGTGCTTACACTGAGTCTTTTTACAAGTAAAAATTATTTAATTGTAGTGGAACAGTGTGTATGTTTTTCATATTGGTTCTTTGTTGTTTTATAGATACTTTGAAATTTTTAAAGTTTGTTTCCTTCAAGTTTTAGGGTGTTGTTGATTTCTTATTGCAGGGTAGAATGTCTAAAAGACTGGGTGACTTAAAGTTCAGAACATAAACAATATAGAGTTCATATTTACAGAATCCCTCTAACCCTTTCACTACAAATTTCACGTATTTGGTTTCTCTTTAGAGTCAGGATATGACTGGTTTAGAGAAGGAGTTTAGCTGGTTAACTGAATCTTTTCAAAAGTGGCTTGCCAAATCATCTTTAGAACAATTTTTGAGGAAACTTTTTCATGTTTTAATTCTTTGCAATGTTGGAGTTATCTGTGGCAAATCCTGTTTATTATCTCTTACCTAGTTTTTCTTTTTTTTGAGAGAGAGAATTTTTTAATATTTATTTTTTGGTTTTCGGTGGACACACATTTTTATTTTATTTTTATGTGGTGCTGAGGATCGAACCCAGCGCCCTGCACATGCCAGGTGAGCACACTACCACTTGAGCCATATCCCCAGCCCAGTTTTTCTTTTTTTTATATTTTGAAAACTGGTACTTTCGCCCTGCTTTTACAGTTACTGAACTCTTTTGGTTCTGGACATCTATGCCTTCTTCTTATTAACCCTTTGAAGTGTTGTCAGATCCCAAACTACTCTACTGCTTCATAATCTGTATAGTCATTAAGTATTCTACCTGTCTCACTGTGGTTGCCATATTATTTACTTTATGATATTACCTTAATATTTAAGTCCTTGACTATTTCACTTCCCTTTTTATCTCTTCTGTCTGTGGTTGCTTTTTTTTTAATATTTATTTTTTAGTTATAGGTGGACACGATATCTTTATTTCATTTTTATTGGTGCTGAGGTTTGAACCCAGTGCCTCACCTGTGCTAGGCGAGTACTCTACCACTGAGCCACAACCCCAACCCCTGTGGTTGCTATATTTCTATTTCCTTAGCTCTAGCTTAGACCTCATGATCCATCACCAACATGGTACTAGTAGTACCATTTTGCTGCCTACTGGTCACCCCTTCCTCACCATTTTATTATACCTACCTTAAAACCTCATCCTAGTTTATCTGCTTGTTCTCAAGGGTAGTTTATTTCCAAGGTCTTCCTTCCTGTTCGTTTCTTAGCTTCAGAAGAATGTCCAACGGAAAACAGATTAAACAGCTATCACAGCATATTCAAGAGTCTTTTGTTGTTGTTCATACTTAATTGTCTTGGAAGCAATTGACATTACTCCTTTTTGAAACTTTTAGTTTTGCTCCTGTGACATCACTCTCTCCTATCATTTGTCCCCCCTCTCATTTCTCAAGTATTTTCATTTTCCTTTGATATTTTCTTACTTTTCTAGCACTTGAGATTTYTATGGGTTTGGGCACATTTTCTTTTCTTACTTATGCTTATTCTTTGGGTGATTTCAGTTAAATCCATAGCTTTAAAATACCATCAAAGACTAATGACCCAAATATGTATAGCCAGTTCAAGCTTTTCTGAGCTTTTTTTCTTGGTGTGGTTGAATGAACCCAGAACCTTGTGCATTCTTCTAAGCTATGGATCTATGTTCCTAATAAATTTTGTCATTTGATGTTTTTTTTTTTTTAATGGATACCTCATAAGCCAGATTCTGACTCTGTATTCTCTGTTTCATTGAATGGAACCATCAGCCAGTCAGAAACCTGAAAATCTTTCATTTTACTGGCATGTTTATTTGTGAATTGAGTCATGAAGACTAGATCTTATTTTTCTCATGTTTATTCTCCTCCATTTTTAGTTCATGCTTTGTTGGTGACCTAACCAATCTCCATTTGTCACAACAAGTCATTTAAAACTCATTATCTATGTGTCATGATCTGTTCCTTTCTTCTTTTCAGTCTAAGTTAAATATCCTGGTTTAATAAGAGAAAGTTCGAAAAACCACAGAACTAGAGAAATACTACGAAATTTTACATACCAGAAGGAAAATGAGCCTGTCCATCAATCTCTAGTTATGATGTCTAGGTTTAAACTGTAGCATGCCACTCTTTGAAGGTTCAATGTCACTTATTCTTTATTACTTCTTGGACATTAAAAATATTTACATCCACATGCATGTACACATCTCATCAACTGCTAAAAGCTTTTTAAGGCACTAGGACTTTTTAGATTTCAGTATAATTGGCCCTTAATCAATATTGGCCATGCCATGAGTTTTCTTATTTACATTTTGGTTTGTAGTTGGCTTAGTTCTCTTACAGATGAACTAAAACTGTTTATAGAGAAGAAAGATGTTGAAACAAAGAGTATATTTATAGAATTATGGGTTTTTCTCAAAATTATTTAATAGGATTTTAAGATTGGCAGCTGTTAGTGTTTGGGATTTAATATTTTTAATTTTTAATTYGCTTATAGGTACCTTCAGGAAGTAGGTTACACAGATACAATATTAGATGTACGGTCTCAGCGGGTAAGGTCATTACTTGGACTCTCTAATTCAGAACCAAATGGATCAGTAGAAACAAAGAACTTAGAACAAATCCTGAATGGTGGTGAATCTCCGAAGCAAAAAGGACAAGAAATCAAAAGGTATGATTTACACTGTAGGCTACCATTGTTTAATTGGTACTATAAATTTCTTTAGCTCCTTGTTATTAAACTGTTAACAGTTTTTAAAGCACATGGAGTTCAGATATAAAAATACCCCACCCCACCCCCAAATGGTACCATAGTCAAGTAAATTTTGTACTTGGGTGCTTTTAAAGTTTCTCTTTGTTAAAGTTTGTGCCAAGAGAATGACTCTGGTTTGGAAGTAGGTACAGAATTAAAATGCAGATTTGAGATTAATTTCATGAAGTTCAGAGCTATTTTAACATCCTGATTTTAAGKGTCTGCTAGAGTATTATAAATTGTAGTGTTACTCTTCCACTAGAATGAGCAATGGTTATTTAGATAGTAGTGTGAAAGAAAAAAGACTATATTTTGTTTGAACTACCATATACATGTTTTTTAAAGAAAAATACCTTTGTTCAGATAATTCACATACTATACAATTCACACATTGAAGGAATGTAACTTAATAGTTTTTAGACTATTCAAGAGTTGTTYGGTCTAAGTTTAGAACATTTTCATCACCCTAAAAACAAAACCTGTATCTATTAATTGTCACTTTCCATTCTCCCTTACCCTCCATTGTAGACAAATAGTCTACTTATTATTTCTTTAGATTTGGATGTTCTGGATATTTCATACAAATTGTCTTTTGTGAATCATCTATAAGCATAATATTTTCAAAGTTCATCCATGTATAACATGCACCAGTACTTTATTCCTTTTTATTGCTGAATAGCATTTCATTTTGTGGACGATAATAGCATGTTTTGTTTTATGTATTATCCAGTTGAAGGGCATGTGGATTGTTTTCACATTGGGAAATACTGAATAACTTTGAGGAACTTCCAAACTTTTCCAGAGTGGCTGCACTATTTTACATTCATATCAGCAGTGCTATAAAGGTTTTGGTTCTTATTGTCTGTCTACCAGATATGCTTTTGATTTATAGAAACTTCATCAATGCAAGAAGTCAAGCAGTGAAACGTCTTTCATTTTTTACCATGTTATTCTGAGTAACATAGGTGAAAACATCGAAAAAAGAGAGAGAGAATAGAATAATATTTTCAAAGTGTCAAATACCAAATTAGTTGATTTAGAACTTAGAAATTGAGACTGGGTTGTGGTAAGTAGTAGAGCGCTCGCCTAACGAGTGTGAGGCACTGGGTTCAGTCCTCAGCACCACATAAATATAAATAAAATAAAGGTATTGTGTCCATCTACAACTTAGAAAAAATAAAAAGAACTTAGAAATTAATAATATCCACAGTTTATAAGCTAATGTTATTTTATACCCTTAATGTATTTTGATGACATATAATTGTCTAAAACGTGTTCTATATACTTGGTAATTCAACTCAACGCAAGCTTTTTTTGTTTTTTGGTTGTGCTGGGTTGAACCCAGGGTCTTGTGCATGCAAGACAAGCACTCTACCAACTGAGCTAGTGCAAGCTTTTTTTTTTTTTCTTTAATATTTTTATTAATTATTGATGGACCTTTATTTATTTATATGTGGTGCTGAGAATCAGACCCAGAGCCTCTCACATGCTAGGCAAGCGCTCTACCACTGAGCCACAACCCCAACCCCCTAACACAAGCTTTTGATTTAGGGTTTTTACTTCTGAGAAATAGGCTCTTTAATAAAGTCAATTCGATATCATTATATTTTCTTTACTCTGATTTCAGGAAGCATTAAGTATTTTGTAGCATTAGAGAAAAAGTATCACCATGCATTTTCAACCACTGGTTAGTCTGTACAGCTAACCATACTAAGTAGTTCATAGAATTTATCAATATTTTAGACTAATGATGTTTGCTGTAGCATACCTGAGTCTGAAATCTGAATTAAAGGTCCATGACAGACTATACTGTGTTTCCTAAAACTTCTTGCTTTTGCAAGATAATGACTTCGTAGTAGTTTTTATGGGGGTGGGAGGAAACAGGCAAAAGCTATATACTGCAAGCTCTGACTTCTTAACAAACCTTTTAATTRTACATTATAGTATTGTTGGCACAGCATTATGTACAGTAGATCTAGAACTTCTCATCTTTGAATCTCTACACATTGAACAAATCCTCATTTCCCCCTCCCTCCAGATCATGGCAGCCACCATTCTACTAAGTTATTAATGGGCTATTGAAAACTTCTAGGAATAAGAAAAGGGTATAACACGTGTATAGAGATTTCAGCAAAATGGTATTTTATGAAGTTCTTATTTATAATAGAAAAAAAATCAGAAGCAAACTTACTATCCAATAGTAAAGAATGATAAATTTTAGACTCATCATATAAGAGTGTGAATTCTGAAGATAGACTGGATTTGAATCCTAACTTTATACCACTTACTAACTTCGACTTTGGGCATAGGACCTTATATTTCCAGTTTTGCAAAATGGGGATCAYAGAATTGATGTGAGAAAGAAATGAATTAATGTAAGACAATTATAACAGTGCCTGGTATGTAGTAAACATTATGTGTTTGATCTTATGGAGTATTATGTATCCAAGTGAAATGTTAATCCCCCTAAGAGTAGTGTTTACTAGATTCTACATAGTTGTCATCACTGTTCTGTTTCTTCCTTTTTTTAAAAAATTATTTTTTATACCTTAATTTTATTTATTTTTATGTGGTGCTGAGGATTGAACCCAGGGCCTCACATGTGCTAGGCAAGTGCTTTCTGCCACTGAGCCACAACACCAGCCTGTGTTCTGTTTCTTAATTTGTGGTAGTAGGATGTTTTGGGTGTATTATAAAATATCTACTTAAGTTGATTCAGTTCTTACGTAGATCTTGTGAGAAAAACTGTGCAATGTCTAAATAATGGTCTGATTTATCTTTGAATCTCCTGCTATCATTCCTTTTCCTTTTGTACTCTGTTTATAATCTCAGGGCCAAAATTTATAGCCTTCCTCTAGAAAGTACACTGATTCTTTTTAATCTTTTTACTGTCTAGCCTATCTTTTGACCTCATTTTATTTTCCCTTCATCTTGATATATTAATTTTTATTCTATTATTTGCTTTTTTAAGATGAGAGGTACTAAATTGTTGACAAAAGAAATTTGTAATACAGACTTCCATTTAAACATGGACATCAAAGGCATTTGCTTTCCAAAAGTTCTGCACAAATGACTGTAAAGGGCTTAGTTCTRTGAAGAGCTTAAAATGAATCAACATAATGGAACAAAAAAATTGGATATAGCTAGGCACARTGGCACATGCCTATAATCCCAGCARTTTGGGAGGCAGGAAGACTGCCAAATTCAAGGCCAGCCTTGGCAACATAGCAAGATCTGTCTCAAAGGAAAAAAATAGCCCTTGCCTAGTATTTGTGAGGCCACATTTGTGGGCTCAATCTCCAGTACCACCAGGAGAAAAAAAAAAGAGAGAAAAAAAGATACCAAGGGGGTGGGTGCAGGGGACAGGGCTTGGGAGTTCAGTGGTAGAATGCTTGCCTAGTGTATACAAGGTCTTGGGTTTGATTCTCAACACTGGAAACAGAAAAAGAAGAAACAAAACAAAAAAGCAGGCATTTAAAATAGGAACCAAAAAGAAATATTGGAAATCAACCTTAATGCCTTTGGTTTCATCTTTTTCYTTTCCCACAGGCCTACTGGTGATGTTCTTGAGACATTCAATTTCTTAGAAAATGCTGATGACAGTGATGAAGAAGAGGAAAATGACATGATTGAAGGCATCCCAGAAGGAAAAGATAAACATCGGATGAATAAACACAAAGTAGGAAATCAGTTTTATATTCTTATTAGCTTTGGTATTTGAATAGTAATTTGAATAATAATTTTTTAGATAAGTTCCATTGGGAATGATTGATCATTGTTTATAGCATGACACCTCAAAGTTTTATATATTTTCAATTCTTACTGAATTATGCTTCTTTAATGAGAATTATTATTTGCTGTATTGTTCATTAAACAGGCATGAAGAGGTCTGTTTTTATAGGACTAGTTTAGTGGGGTTTTATTTTAGTCTTTTTTTTTTTAAGTTGTAGTTGGACACATACCTTTATTTTATTTATTTTTAATTTTTATGTGGTGTTGAGGATTGAACCTAGTGCCTCACATGTTTAAGGGAAGTGCTCTACCACTGAGCTACAACCCTAGCCCCTAGTCCAGTGGTTTTGAAACTTTTTAAAAAAGTTAACATCCATGGACTGGGACTGGGGCTCAGTGGTAGTGCACTTGGGCTGGGACTGGGGCTCAGTGGTAGTGCACTTGGGCTGGGACTGGGGCTCAGTGGTAGTGCACTTGCTGGCATGTGTGAAGCACTGGGTTCGATTCTCAGCACCACATATAAATAAATAATAAAGGTCTATCAACAGCTTAAAAAAAATACATGTATTAAAAAAAATGTTAACAACCTTGCCACTCTGGCCACAATTGAAAAATCACTGCTGAAATTTTCTCTTCATGTATAGTACACAGGTGATAAAATTACCTGAAGCTGCCATGGGTATATTCCCACCCTGGGTAAGGGAGTAATGTATGGGCTGTAAATATGTGTCAACATTCTCATTCTTTGGTAAGGATAAATAAAACTTTGCTCATAACCTAACAAATAGATTTATTTTATTTTAGTGGTGATGGGATTGGCTACAGGAGCAAAAGTGGAGATCATCCATTTGTGAATTAACAGAATAGTGTTCAGTATTTCACAGATGTAAAAAAAGTTGTGAATAAATTTAGGTGTGGTACATTGGAATTTTTTAGTAATATAGAAAAAATGACAATGTTCCTCAAAAGCTTCTAGTCTACAATGGCAGGTTTCAATTCTTACATATCCCACATGTATAATATATACTTTTAGAGAAACAGAGATTTTTTATTCTTTCCTACTCTTTTTGTTCTGGGAAGTAGGATGCTCTATCATACCATGAACTTAACATTAGTTATTAAGCTACATAGATTATGCATGCAATTTAATTCAAGTATATGAGCTCTATTCAAGATAAGCTGTCAGAATGCGAGTGAATCGTTCTTTAATGGGAGCACTGAGAGTCTWCTATAATTAAAGAAGTTAACTCTTGATGAATAGCACTTTAACCATTTTTTATATCACAGTATTTGAATCACATCTTACAAATGGCTTGGCATAGCACTGTTGAACCATTTATYTAAGATATAATTTGAGACTTATGAATTACATAGAAAGTCTAAAATTTGGATCCAAAATAATTTAAAAATGGGTGTGAAAACATGGTTATATGAAACACTAAAAGATCCTTTTAAAATTTAGGATTAAAAATAATTCTTGGTTTATATTCTGTTTATAGATAGGTAATGAAGGCTTAGCTGCAGACCTAACTGATGATCCTGATACAGAGGAAGCACTGAAAGAATTTGATTTTTTAGTGACTGCTGAAGATGGTGAAGGAGCTGGAGAAGCACGGAGTTCAGGGGATGGCACCGAATGGGGTAAGGTGATGAAGAAATATGGGGGTGGGAGGAAATCTATCATTTAAAGATAGAAAGATTATTATTATGTGGAATTTTTGTATCTGAAGGTATGGTGGAAGGTAAACAGAGAGCAAGGAGAAGTGGTATTGAATAATTACAGGGTATTTTGTACCAGTTTATTTAGATTTGGTGACTAAACTTTCATATTTTACATTTATCTTGATTTAAAGTTGAAATGTATTTTGGAAATCTCTTTCCTCATAGCTTTTTTTTTTAATAAGCATTACTCATTGTTAGACATTCCATTATTTCATTTGATTAGTCTAGATTTAAGAGGACACAAGTCTGAGTAAGTAGGGTATTACCTGACTTATTGATAGGCAGGAATACAGCTCTACAATGAGCAAGATTTAATGAAGACATTAAACTTTTTCACATGTAATAGTCAGTGTGCAAATGTTAAGGCCTCAGTTTTGGAAGTCATACATAATGCTAATAATAATTCAGCCAAAACCAAAAGAGAGAAAACAGTCTGTCTGTACAGGGCTAAAAACTCTATTTGGTAGTAAAATAAAAGTCTAAAAAAATATTTTAAGGCAATAGATTATGTCCAGTGTGTTTTCCCTGTTAAAAATGTTCATTCAATCATTCTTGAATATTGACATGTTGTCTGGTAGGGGTGGAACTCAGAAGTGTTTATAGAGCTTTATTGGAGAAGATTATGTTAATACATCAAAGTTTTGCTTTATTACTATCAAGAGCAGTTATCACCAAATTGTTTAAAACTACTTTGGTGATAGAAATCATAACTTGGAGCTTTAAAAAAAATTCCTCATTTGTGTATTGAATCTGAAGATTGCTAATAGCAAAAGAGAAAAACCTTCTATTAAGATGCTATTTATTGACTTTCTTGATATAAAAATTGATTACTTAAAAGATTTCAATTTTTTTATTAAGGTTTCTCTTTTTTCTTTTTCAACTATCTTTCTCTTTTTTTAAAAAAATCTTTATTTTGTTTATTTGTTTTTATGTGGTGCTAAGGATCGAACCCAGTGCCTCACAGGTACGAGGCAAGCGCTCTGCCACTGAGCCACAACCCCAGCCCTTATTAAGGTTTTTCATTGGGTATGATTTCAACCTCATATTTAGATCTTTCTTCTTTCTTCTAAATGGAAATGGAAGATCATAAACTCCACAGTTGCTTTCTAGACTTAGTATGTTTTTGTACTTATTATCTGAAAATGGCAATATTTTAGAAATTTATTCTTACTCGGGAGAAACAGTATAAGATTCCATTTTTTGTTTTGGTTTTTTCCCCCTAGTTTCTAAATGTATCCCATTCAGTGTTGGAAATTTTTTTTCTAATAATTTTAAAAGTACTAATATTTTGTTATTATTAATATTTTTAAAGTACCTAGTATTTTATAATGCAAGTATATTTCAGAAGATTTAGAACCCATAAATAAATGTGTGGAAGAAAATTAAAATATACCTATATGCTACTTTGTAGTGAGAATCAGTTAACATTTGTATTAGCATATGACTATTTATATGTAATTTATTTAAATAACAGAGGGTTTATCAAGCATCTGTTTAGCTAAATCTTGGCAGATATTCATTCCTATTGCCTGAACCTAAAGTGACTAGAACTTTAACTCTTAGTCAAAAAGATAAACAAAAATTTCAGGAATTTAATTTGTGAAATTAAATTAAATTAAATGTTTTATTATTTTAATTAAAAAGTACCCAGTTATGTACAACTGAATGGTCCTTCTGTCCAAAGACTTTCTAAGGCGAAGTTCAATACTTTATGTACTTTTTATTATCAGCAGTTGAGTGACCTATGTCTCATTATGTAAGTGGAAGTAACCAGTAAAGCCTCTTAATTCCAGATGGAACTGAAACATTAAAACATTGTAAGGTTTTTTKTTGTTGTTGTTGTTTTTGTTTTTGTACCAGGGAGTGAACCCAGGAGCACTTACCCATTGAGCCCTAGCCCTGTTTTTAATCTTTTATTTTGAGAAAGGGTCTTGTTAATTTGCATAGGGCCTTGCTAACTTGCTGAGGATGGCTTTGAACTTAAGTTCTTGATGAAATAAAGAACTCTCAAGTACAAAGTGGCTCAAGTATTTTTTTCCCATAAGAAAAACTATCAAAGGACCTATACAATATTCTTAAAGTTCATCATTTGTACTCAACAAATGTCATTAATTTTGTCATTAATTTTGTCTGAAACAAAGAGGACAGATATGCAACATTCCTTTTATATTTATTTAATTTTCTAGGGATTTTAATAAATTTATAAATGGGAACGTGGTGATTTTCATATTCAAATTATTGGGTTAAGAAGATTTTAGCATAAAAAAAGAACACAGATTTTTWAAAAAWWAAWTYYKRAWYCYTTTWWWAAA